CTTATTAAAATAATAACAACTAAAAAAAAATCAATACTATGACAAAGTACACGTCCGAGCTGCTTAATATTCTCCTAACTGCTCCTCACATGGAGAAACAGACAGAGTGAATAATTGGGCCTTCCCCTCCTTCCTCTCCACTGCGGAGCAACAATCCATTAAAAATGTGTCCATTACGTTCCTCCGGCTCACCTGTCTGGGGACGGAGCACCACGGGGCAGGTGGAATTGAGCAAGCACCGAAAAGAGACATTTTTCAAGCCGCCATATTCACTTCGAGAAGTCTACGCGGCACACCGACACACACGGGAGCGTGTCAGCGCGGCGTACGCCTCTTCCAGCGGATCGGTTCATCCACTCAGAAGGAGGTCTTGGGAGTAAAACGTGTGTTTCAGGGTTATCGTCAAAAACCACGATTTTTATTAAGCTCCAATATGTTTTACTCCAGAGACGAGCTCGGTAAAGGCGGATGGCGGCGAGCCGAGGAAAGGAGAGACGGTACCCTTCAAGTGGCCACGTGTGCTGCTTTCAATGTGAGAGCATCATCAGTCGTGGGAGGGAGGGGAGGGAGGGGGGAGGTTTTTTCTTGTGGACTCCAACGCTGAACTTTCCGTGATTGCATCCCTAAGACGCAGCTTTTCTAAACTAAACACACCATTTTCCATTTATCTCACACCTCCTCCTCCTCCTCCTCCTCCTCCGCCTCCTCCTCCTCCCGTCTCCTCTTCAGCGTGTCCCTGATAAGCGCTCTGCAGACTGTGCAGCCAGCGAGTTATGAGAGCTTCCTCTTTGTCTTCCTCACATACATTCACCCACTATAATGCAGTAATAGGGAGATGTCATTTTAATGAACAATTTAATAATTGAACATTTTATCGAGGCGTACTTCATAAGAGTGTCTCTATGTCATGGCAGAGATATTCACCCATACTAAAAGAAAGCTAAAGAAATGGTTTTGGCTCAACTAAGCATAGAAATAGACTTGACTTTTTCATGAACACTGGATAGATAGATACTTTATTGATCCCTCAAGAGGGAAATTTTGGTATCATAGCAGCATGTAGAGGGAAGAAAATAGAATAAAAAGATACACATTATGTACAATATAATAAGATAGAAACATTAAATTCTTAAATTAAATTGAATTAAATTAAATAAACTAAAACTGAAACAAAAGAATAACCTTCCAAAAGAGACAATAATAATAATTTGTAAAAGGAGAAGAGGAAGAGCAGCAACATCACAGCAGTACAGGGTTGTTATTGTCATTATTTAGCCAGGGATGATTTATTGTAAAGTGTTATTGCACTGGGCAGGAATGATCTCCTGTATCCTGTACTAAGCTGCTCACACCCTGTTGCTCTTCATGTGAATGCTCTGGCCGGTTGTAACTAGCTAACATTTGACTATTCTACACTAAATAGACACTCTATTATTAATAGTATCAATAATACCCATGTTATTTAGTTTTTTTTATTATTATTATGGGAGTTATAACTTAATAATAAGCACGTAATAAATGTTGATATAAATGCTAAATAGCGGGGACTTAAAGTAAAGAGAGTCGGCTCCCACTGGTGACCAAATGACTCAAGAATCCTGCGGGCCGTGAAGTCCATTGATCCGGCACGTGTTAAGGCAGCATTGATTTCTGCTCTGCTAATGACGTTAGAGGAGCAGCTAGTCGGGTCTCTGCTTTGCTGGACTACCGGCGCCCTTGTAGGGATTGTAATATTTTGGCCCTGAGACGAGGTGGAGCAGATTTAGTCTCAACTCTACACGAGGGGAAAATCGACTGTCCAATAGCACTGACGGGCATGAACAACGCTTGTTGACGTTCTCCTGAGCCGGCGCGGTTTTCTCGTGTTTCCACACAGGACGTGCAATTTGTGACACACGCAAATTAAGACCGAATCAAGTATTTTCTTTCCAGAGTGCTTTCTGTCAGAGTGCTTCCGGAGACACACGAGCAGCTGCTGAAAGGATCGCAGCGGCCAACAGATGATGCATTCTACAGGCAATGCTTCTCCCAAAGCCTCCGAGTGAGGAAATTCAGTTTATGGAAAAAAAATTTTAAAAAATGGGAAGAGGCTTCGGTCGCCGCCGAGATTCAGCACTTCAAAACCAAAGGCAGCGGAGGACATAATTGAGCAGCGCCGCCATGATCTGCCCCTGCGAAGTGTGCCGTTGTGCTTCTTGGGGCTGGACAGGAGGAAGGCCACATCGGGCCGGATCCCACAGAGCCAATACAGCAAGTCAACTGCGCCGGCACCAGCGAGGTCTCAGCACGTGCCAGAAAACCAGTGAGCAATGGTTCTGACGAGGGTCGTGTCTTCTCTCGGCTCCACTGCTTTGGCTCAGTCGCACTGCTCTCGTGAACCGTTTCAGCCATAGCGGGTGATGTTTTCACCGGGAACCCTCTGATAAACCCCCCCCTGCCCTCCTCATTACTAGCTCAGCAGACACTGCTGGTGACCAGCCGGTGAAAATTAAATTCTAAAGAAGCGGCATATTGGATTTAAATATTGCCGGATTGGGTAAAAACACGACTTCGAATGAATGTAAATGTTGTCTGAATGTGTAAAGAGGTTCGACATGAACATTTATACGGTTATATCAATGGTTGCTTGCGTGGTACAGATCATTTGCAGAGAATTTGACTAAATAGAGATATAAAGGGATTCATTTTGAAGAATGGTTCCTTGCACTGTGAGCTTAGTTTTGCGTTGGCCCAATCCTGTGATTTGATATTATTCTGCATGGGGTCAAACAGTAGAGAGAAAGCGAAAGGACGAAAATTGATATATGTCTAGAAATCAGAACATGTACACGGCCAATCGAGGGACGATAACACTGAGGTGCGAGATGAGCGCCACGATAATTCAACATCCGAAAGTTGTAACGTGATTCAAAGCGTCATTGGCGAGAGGATTCCTTCTTGCAGACGTCAGGCAGCAAACGCCGTGGCCTCCCCACTTAGAAAGAACGCGCAGGCAGATGATGTCACTCTCCAGCAACCGACGACTTCTGTCAGCAACGCCGAAGACTGGTGCTCGGTGACCATCCTCCCGCTGCACATCGAAGGAGGCGCTGGAACGCACGATGCATTCTTCGCCGCCTCAAAATCCCCCTTTACGGGACAACTACAGACGTCCTCGCGTGCGTCTTTTAGTCACACAACTTCACTCCACAACCCAACGCTCTCCACGCGGCACAGAGGCGACGACGCCGATAAAGATGTTGATGTGTGAAGCCACAATGTTTCATAAACTTTTACCCAAAGATCGCCAAAAATCTAGGATGGAGGACTTAGGACGTAAGCTCCCCTCTCGGGTGTCAGAGGCCCCTCATTCTCAAACGGAGGTTTGAGGTCATTTCCCATCACATCATATTTGGGGAAAAGAAAAGGTTTCATTCCAGTTCAGCTTCAGCAGCCATTTCCATTATCTGTAATCTCTTTTCAGGGAAGAAAACCAAAAAATAAAAGGTCATCTGGACTCGACATTTTGACTTTAATATGTGGTATGGAGCTTAAACCAAAATGCTGATGAAATACACAATTAACTTGTTCATGCACACACATTTGTGGAGCCTGACATAAAGTCCCTGACAAGTCCCCATACGAGGAAACAATGCTTAATAGCTGCAGGAGCACTTAAATGGATGACTTTGACAACCCCACCAAGTTGTTAATGTGCTTCAATACGGAGGTGGAAGTTTGTCACACTGCCTCGTACAGCTCTCTGAGCTTTATTGCAAGACTGTAAAAAGGCAACAGCGAGATACAGCTCTGTGTGTGTGTGTGTGTGTGTGTGTGTGTGTGTGTGTGTGTGTGTGTAGTGCTGCAGCCCCGATCCAACAAACAAACTATCTGTAGCACATCAGTGTGTTTGTGTACACACACACACGCTTCTTGGCCCCCCGGCTGAGTCTAGAAGGGTGTGTTGGATGGAGATAAGATTTTCTCTGATGTCCTGATTTCTTTCTTATTCCTAAGTGAAAGTGCCCCCCGCTTGTCCCCGCACAGCGTCTCCTCACACGCACACAACCCGACATGATCAGCAGGGCACACATTTTGTATTTCAAATGGCCTTAATAGAAGATTTTCTTGTGCTGCACTAGCAGGGGGAAATACACCTACAGTCACTGCATTGGGGCTTATTTAATTACTACACCAGCCTTTTTTGTATAAATAAAAAGGAACAAGCTCATCAACTTGGGCTTACCGACCCTGCTTAATTATTCTCCCAGCTTTAATTAGGCAATCAGCTGGCAATGCATTTATCCCACCGGGGCCCATTAAAAATGAATAGATAAACACCTGTCTGTATTTGTTGTACTTGCATGTCACTGTGTTGTGCGGTTTGTCTGCGTAGGAATGTTAAACGGTGGGAATGTCGACCCTGCAGACAACCATGAATACAGTACACAAAGAGGTTTTATGATGTCAATAAATCTGGGTGACCCATGTGGTTCATCTCTGCGGCGGGCCCCGGGCAACATTAGCTGACGTATTGCGTGATCTTAACTTTGGGGTTGTACAGACCAGAATACAATTTGAGCCCTTGGTGACATCTCCAAATATCAGCACCAAGAGATATGCAGAATCCAAAATCCTGTTACTCCCTCTTTTAAATTGTTACTTTAAAAATGAGCCAGCTGATTTATTCATTATCAAAAAGGTTTGCTGATTACATTTGTTTTGATCAACTATTTGGAAAGTTGACTTCACCACTATGCTTTTTTAAAAGCTAAAGCTTATTCATTCATGCCATCTTCCGGGTGGGAAACTATCCATTGAAAAAAAGTCCCGAGGAAACTGCAGTTTTAGAAAAGCCTTCAGAGCGCCGCTCCGCCGCCATATTGGCTCAAAGCACATAGGCCTCGAAGGGGCATCCTGGTCATCCCCTTGGCGCCAAAATGGAGGACGGCTGAACAGTTTCCCAATCCCAGCCCACCCCGCCCCCTCCCTTGTGTGGGAGGAGCTCTACGCTCCGCGGAACGTTCAAGCACGCAGCAGCGGAGGGGAAAAAAGAAAGAGAAAAAAACACAAACCAACGGCTGGAAAGTGTTCGCCGGGCCGGAGCGACGCAGCGAGGAGACCGAGGGTGGAGACGGAAGGTGGAGACGCCGAGTGGAGCAGCTAATGTACGTTGGACGACTCGAACGCGCCTTGCAGTTATATATATATATATATATATACACACGACAGGAGGACCGTGTGTGTGTGTGTGCCTGTGCGCGCGTTCCCGAAAGAGTAACCCGTGGCTGCCCGGGAAGTGAGGAGCACGGCGACCCACCTGGATCCGGTGCTGTAACCCGAGCCTGATGCACACCGTCGAACCGGGTCGGTCCGGGCGTTTTCCCTCCCCCGTGTGAGTACAACATCGAACGCACCGGAGCCGTTAACGGGAGCGCACCGGCCGCCGGAGCGATGTTTGTTTGACAACCGCCGTGTGGTTTTGCTCCTTTGAGACGGGAGGACGTTACCGGGAAGCCGCGGGGGAAAGGCGGGGCCGGACCGGCGGACTCCCAGACTGGATTACTGACACCCCCTCCTCCCTCCCTCCCTCCCCCTTTGCCGAATCACCCACAGCGACGCAGCATATATTTCTGGGGGGTGAGGGGGCCCCGGGGGGGTCGAAGGAGGAGGCAACAACTGGAATTTTAGAAAAGCCTTTTTTTTTCTTTGGGAACTCTTTACCGAGCTCACTGCGAGCGGCGTTTTCTGTCAGTCGTTTTCGCCAAACGGTCAGTTGATTTTTCTCACCCCCCCCCCCCTCCCTCCAGGAGCGCCTTCGGTTTTAGGACGCATATTTTGGGGATATTTCCCCCCCCAGCCGGGGTCGGACCATGGCGGACGACGACATCCTGTTTGAAGATGTGTACGAGCTCTGCGAGGTCATTGGAAAGTAAGTGCTGGTTTTATTCCACTGGTGTATTTTTATTTTGTTGGCCTCGTAACACCCCGAGGGGGTTTGGACACGCGCGCGGGGGATTCACGCTCAAACGCACACGTGCGCGCTCAAACAAAAAAAATAATTAATTAATGGTCATCCAGAATCGATAGTGACCGTGACGCCACATGACCCCGCCCCCTTGCAACACTAATATATATATATATATATATATATATATATATAATTTTCCTTCTGGTCGCCGCGGATGTGATCACAGTGGTTGCATTCCCGGTTGTATTGGCTCTCTCTTCCCCCCCGAACCCGCACGGGGCTTGTTGCTCTGCTTCGCTCAGACATCCGGGACCCGGCGGGGTACCTTGTGTGCTTGGACCCGGTGGCAGTTGAGAGGGCAGGGCAACAGACCACCGTGAGTCATGCACGCCGCACATCTGGTCACGGTTAGTGACTGGTGCTCTCACTCCGGGAGGGGAGGGGGGGGCGGGTGCTGTTGCAGGGGTTCGTGCTCCATGTAATTATATTGCAGCCAGGTAGAATGTTGTGACAGCCTTTATTGTGTGAAAGTGAAATCTTCCCATGATGACTAATGAAGAAGGGAGAAAAAGAAAAGCGGTTGAACTACGGCGGCAGCGGCATGTGTCCGTACACCTCGTGTTTCTGCAGAGCCAGGTGAGTGAAGCCCCCTCAACAAAGACCTGTTGGAAGGGGACCCGTTTCTGTTTGGGCCGACGCATGAGCGAGTGACCCCGTCCTCTCCAAACTGCTCTTCACTGGGCGTCCCAGGCGGCGGCTCCAGAGGAAGCAGGACGCAGCCAGTCAGTCAGCCATAGCGGGCGGACTGGTTCTGGGGTGTCACGGAGCTGGTTGACTGTTGACTGGGTGACGAGACCTGCTCTGTGCACTACGTGTTTAAACAAGTTAATAAAGAAAAAAAAACAGGGTGTGCTCTTTTTTTCCTCTCTTTTGCCACACGGTCAAAGGCTGTTTTTTTTTTTTTCTTCTTCTCTTGAACGCACCCACTAGCCGCGCGCCTTCACGTTTAGTACAAACGTACTATGGTCGGCGTGGGTTTGGCGAAGGTTGTTGTGGGCCAGAAGGAGCACTTTGAGAGCCAAGTGCTCTTTTGGAGTCAGCGTGCCACTAACGCTGGTTTTCTGAATCACAGCGTTACTCATCGGACGGACCGTCTGCGATTTACACACTCGGCAGAAGAAGAGAGCGGCCTTTTATCAGCCGACCTGCTGCTCCTCAGCTTCCCGTTTAAGACTCCACCGAAAAACACTGGCAGTGGGTTTGTGATGCAGAAAGAGGCCGGATTAACCAGAGGGAAAGCACACCCGAAGAACAACTGCACGGGCCTGGAGAGACGTACTCAAAAACCCAGCGGCGCGCACGGCCACATGTGTGTGCGTGTTCTGCATCATGGGCCCGTGTGTTTGCGAATGCAGACCAATGGAGGGATCGTTGGGATCCCTGCTCGGTCCGTGTCCCCAGGATTTAGGCCCCAAGGAGAACAGGATCCACTCTTCGTGTCCATATTTATGCGCACTCATCGGCCGACTGTGCACGGAGACTCGTCGCGCCCCCCCAACCGCCTTGTGTACTTCTGTCAGATTGATCCTGCCCGTTGCGCTGCCGCGTCCCCGAGGCGCACAGCACAAGAGGACGGGGCTGAGGGTGGGAGGAAGTGAATAGAAATGTTAGGACAAAGGAGACGGGAATGAGGAGAGTAAATGTGGGCTTGAGGATGACTGAGGGAACGAGGGAGGTCAAAGGATGCAGTAGGAGGAAGCATTAGTTTGACTCGCACATTAAGAGACACCCCGTGCCCTCGGGCCACGTTCTCTTCTAGTTCTTCCACGGAAAGAAGCCCCAAGTTGTGCACGTGTTTCTCACGGCAGGGCACGTAACGCATTGCTGTGCACGAGGACATGGACAGCGAGGGAGATGTTGTTCTCCTCTTTTGTTTATTCCTTGCAGCTGTAAACTGCGCTGCAGTTAATACTTGTGGACAACGGCAAATGCTGATTTCAGTGGACAGAGTCCCAGGTTTGGTTAAACAACATCACAATGCAGTCTACACAATAACGCACACAAAGTGCTGCAGTTATTCACTCATTCCAACAATGCTCCTACTAAGCCGTGCACTTCTCTGGTGGAAGGAGAATATTCCACCAGTATTCCCGTTCACATGCAGCCCTGCATGCGACGCCTCACGCTTTCCTTCCTTCGCCCACTTTTTGCTAGAAAGGGTCGGCTTTGTGATACTTGTGCACATCAAGAAAGATGTTCCAAATCCAAGTTCGTAATGAGCTTTAAAAGTAGCCCAGCTTCTCCATCCGCAGTCACCGCACGTGGCGTTTACCCAGCGACCCGCCGGCTCTCTCAGCTCCTCAACAAGTGGGACCAATGGCCTAGCTGTTGTTGATGAAAAAAAAAAAATGAGTGGAACACTGACCTACATCAGGACACGCTGCTGCACTGCTTCCCGGCCCCCCCCCGGACAGGAGTTGGCCGTGGGCCGTAGGTTGTTTACGGTGATGTGCGAGGCTAGCGTGATGCTCAGCCCCGCTGGGGGGGGGGCTGGAGATGCTCTACACGGTACCCACCCGTGGGCTTTGGGCCAGTAGGCTAAACTCTGCTTTGTTTGCATTGTCATTCTCAAGTGTGTTTTTAAAAGGCGGCCTACTCCGCACGGCACCTAATGGCAGCTGTGTTCAATGCAGAGACTCTTCTCCCGGGGGAGGGGGGGGGAATAAATAAAAATACATTGAGGTCAGTTTGAGTCTACCAAGAGGCGGTATTCAGGGGTCAGATGTCCGTGTGGCGGGGGCGGCCTGGACGGGCCTTCGCTCACGCGTTCTCTTCAGTGCCATCGGAATAAATAAAAAAATAAATGCTCTCGGAGGTAGCCAAACAAAAAGTGCGTTTTTTTTTTTTTTTTAAATTTAAAGTCCACGTGGCCGGGACTGGATCCCGTGGCCTGGAGGGAGTCGAGCGCGTCCCCGGGGGCCCTTTCGCCCGCTCTGTGTTTGTGTGTGTGTGTGTGTGTGTGTGTGTATAATTATGTGCAGGCGACTTGTGTGAGCTTCGCCTCTCTGTCGGGGCTTTGGAGGCCGAGAATCCGCTGAAAGGCTGTTTCCTGCATGCACAATTACACAAAGATGATACAGCAGAGAGATCCTGCACTCGGCCGCTAAAAATTTTAATCCATCCTCATAAGGCTTGAAGAACCCCCCCGCCCTCCCCCCTCAACAGCTCTCCATGAGCGGCGGACAAGCTGTAGGAAAAAAGCGAGCTCTGACAATAGATACCTGCTGATGTCTGTGAATTGATTTCTACAGTGACACGTAGTGCTTAAATCCGTACTGACAGATGGCCACGAAGGCAAGCGAGAACTGGGAAAGAGACTGGGATCGTTCCTTTCATGTGCAAAGCAACATTGGGCTTAATTCATACGCCGCTTTTAAACCAAAATATGAAAGATATACATCGGGGACCGGGACTGTTATCGATTTGAACAAAGGTCTCGTCACACTTCGGGTTGATATGGCGACCGTGTGATATTATGTAATTACGTCAACGCTGCAGAACGACGCGCATCTTGGCCTCAAGCTGCGCAACTGTCTGCAGCCTCTCCGCCAAACACACAATCCCTAAGATCTCTGTAGAGACTGCGAGCCGCTGGTTCATTTTAAACCATGGACGTGTTTTCTTCACCTCCTAAGGTGGTTGTGTGTGTGTGTGTGTGCGTTTGCTTGGCAGAGTTGCAGGAAGAGCAGCGTAATCAGAGCGGTTTCTTGCTTTCTGCATTTCCACTCGGTGTTGGCGTATGAAAAAAAAGAAGCATAAGCAGCGCTTGACCTTTTTTTCGCTAATGGAGGAATCCGTCGCGTTCTCCGGGTGATGCGGAGGACGAGGGGCCCGTTGGACGTAACCTGTCTCCTGTTGACTGAGCATGCTGGGTATTTCAGCCGTCTGCTGCAGCAGCAGCAGCCTCTTCAAGGACGCCGACCCTCAGCGCCTCGTCACCCAGTAACGCTGCTTTGCCTTTTGATACGGCTGCAATCTGCCGGAGCTGTTCAGCGTCTGCCTGATAAGCGCCGCTGGATCGCCAGTACGGAACATTTTCTTCATCGGGATACTGAATTTGCTGCCCACGGTTCATTAATTTGCTCGGCTGCAGGGAGCTTGAGAAAGGAAGACGCTGTCAGAGTTCATGATCTCTGAAGGCTTCGGACTGCAGTCAGTATTTATTGAGTTATGTGGTTATTTACTGTCAGAGTCTTGACTCTATGAAAATGTCAACCTCCTGAGTTATGCCATTTAAGCAGCCAAAACGGGAGAATTTCGAAATGGTTGTAATAAAAAGATGAGTAATTTGATTTTCGGCGTTGACATAGTTACATGTTCTGATGATCGATCAAACGGGAACAGGAGGCGTTACAGCAACACTATGGAGAGGACCAGGGATGTTTGTACCGAGCGGCCAGACGGTTCCCCGATTTCCCACCTAATGTGTGTGTAACTGTAGGTCACATATATAAAGGTGACGGAGATCTCTGAAGTCCTCTGCAGCATCCACTCAACCCCTTCAGTAGCCCAAATGTTTAAATGCTAGTTGTCTTGGCTTCTATGAATAAATATGATATCATTACCCTCAGTAATTTTGCTGTAATTCTTTTTTTTAAATTTTTTTTTTTTTACGCGCCTTTGTCTTTACTGGACTAAGTACCAAACGTTACTGCTCTCCACTGACATTTTGGGGCTATTTCTGACTCCTGTGTCTCTGTTCCAGTTTATTTTCCGTGTCCTGCCTTCGTTCAATTCAGGCCCTTTTAATCTAAACCAATTTCCATGCTGCATGCCAAAGCATACAGCGTCACCTGGGTAACAGCGCGGGCCTTGGAGAAAACAACACCCGCCATGCGACACAGCGGGAAAAGACACTTTGTGTGTGTGTGTGTGTGTCTTTCATGGCAGTATAATTCTAG